ACAACAAGATATGAATATACAATGAGATTACCTTTATATGATTCTAAAAAATTAATTAAATTATCAAATAATATTAAAAATATATCATATTTATCACAATTAACATATTTAGATATAAATGGATTAGGAAGTGATTCTATAAATAATTTTAATACTTTTATTTATTTAAAAAAATTAAGTGCAAGTGGAAATAATTTAAATAATTTAGAAAATTTAAATATATTTAAAAAATTAAATTATTTAGATTTATCTTCAAATAATTTAAATAATAATTCTTTAATTGATATTTCTAAATTAAATAATTTAACTTATTTAGATTTATCTTTTAATGAAAATATTAATGAATTAAATAATTTAAATGTAAATTTAGAAAATTTAAAATTATCTTATTGTAATTTAAATAATTTATTAAATATTTTAAATTTAAAAAATTTAAATTGTTTATATTTAGATTCAACTAATTTAAATAATGATAATTTTATTTTAATTTGTAAAAATTTAAAAAATTTAGAAATTTTAAATATTTCATGTAATTTAATTGATGAATATGGTTTAGAATTTTTAAATTTATTACAAAAATTAAAATCTTTATATATTTCACATAATTCAATTAAAGATAAAGGAATTTATTTAATTTCTAATATTAAATCAATTACTATATTAGGTATTGATAATTGTAATTTAAATTTGGAAGGTATTAAAAGTTTAAGTTTAATGAAACAATTAAAATTACTTTCAATTACAAAAAATACTTTAACAAATGAATCAATGAATTATATTTCTTTATTAAATAATTTAACAAATTTGGATATTTCAAATAATTCATTAAATGATGATTGTATTGATTATATTAAAAAATTAAATAATTTAAAACATTTATGTAATTATTTAAATCCATTTAGTGGTCATGGATTTGGATTAATTACACAATTTAAACAAAAATTAAAAATTAAATAAACTTTTCAATTTATTGTATCACTTTCTAATTATTGCATGTAGCTTTAGGTATTTTTCTAATTCTGTGATTACCAGTATCAGCAATATAAACTTCATCATTTGGCGTAACAAAAACGCTTGATGGATCAAAGAGTGGTGCATTTGTTGCTATATCATCACCATTATATCCTTGTTGTCCATTTCCTGCTATTGTTACAATATTTCCATTTTCCAATATTTTTCTAATTCTGTTATTTTGATTGATAATCAGCAATAATCCATTCTTTGATACAAACTGGAACAATACCTCTCTCACCTTATGTGACTGTAATAATGGAACGTATTGCACTTTCAATGTTGTAGAGTTTGTCTTAACAATAATGTGAGATTGGAAGCTTAAGTTAGATCAAACAATTCCAACCTTTCCATGATTTAATAAATTCCAAACCTTTTACAACTTCATCTTCAACCAGAATGGTCCTCTTGGAATACAGATGCAGCAACAAAATTACTTCAGAAACTTTAGATACTCACTGTAAGTCTCAGAACAAGCACGTTCTTTTCAATGCCAACAAGTTTCGGTTATCACTATTTATAACCCAACGGTTGTATTTTCTTTAAGTTATTGTACTCATTCATTTTTTGTTACGTAACATGATTTAGGTTCCAGAGGAAGTTGATACGAGTGAAATCAAAAGATTAGCATCATGATAAAAATATATATTACAATCCATCCAAACAACAAGGAACTTGTTTCATGTAGCTGTAATGTAATATCAGTTAGCAAGTCAAACATTTTTAAATACAGTTGACAATGCTCCCTTTACTTTAATCGCAGCTAAAAATGGCAACTTACACTATACCAGAAAATAAATACCTGAGAATTAGTATAGTGCATTTATACAATTTGTAGTGGAAACTAGTGGTTATTGATATTCTTGTTATTTGCAAACACTATTATTCAATGGAGGTCAATATTAAAACTACACGTATCAGTTACGCAAAATATCTAATATAGAACAAAACTGGAAAGCAAATTAATGAACTCTATTTCATTCAAGGCAGGATATTCATTGGAGATACACAAGTAAGCATAATATTATAAAGCGCAAATTCGCCAACTGTTAAGAGTTGGTACGAAACTAAAATTATTGAAAAGTACGTACTTTAAAGAAGATATGGGCAGATCTTTGTATCTTTAGGAACTGGTAAGAGAAGAAAAGTTT